GGAGACAAGACTGCCCTATCTATATAGTAGTAGTGGAGACAAGACTGCCCTATCTATATAGTAGTGGTGGAGACAAGACTGCCCTATCTATATAGTAGTAGTGGAGACAAGACTGACCTATCTATATAGTAGTAGTGGAGACAAGACTGCCCTACCTATATAGTAGTAGTGGAGACAAGACTGCCCTATCTACATAGTAGTGGAGACAAGACTGCCCTATCTATATAGTAGTAGTGGAGACAAGACTGCCCTATCAGACACAGTTGTGGAGACCAAGTGGAAAAAAGACCAACTGGATGTTACAGAGGCCCACATAAGAGTGAGGCAATGGCATAAGGCCATGATGTGGACTACTCTCCACTTTATGTACCACACGGTGTTGGCAGAGAGTGAAAAAGTGACATGGTAAGTTTGGAAGTATAGCTTTGTCTTTATCCCTTTCCCATTTATATGACATTGATGCCGTCTGATTAGTAGAAAAAAGTGCGTTTGATAGTGTCCAATAGTGTATTACGCGGATACTTAGTATGACAAGTAACTGTTACAGGTAGAGATTCAAAGATTATAGATCATTGATATGAGAGCAATAATGCTTTTAGAAATAATGGTGGTGATGAGTAATGAAGTGGGATTGCGTTTAAGTAATGTTAGCGTTAGTCATATCTTCCTCTGCTCGAATGAGTCACGAGGGACGTGGGCACCCTCTATCCCGTTGTAGAAGTATAGTTAGTTGTACTTGTTTCACGAACGCACTAACACCACTTAGGTTATTTATTGGGAAGTTGGCTGAGTCCAGCCTGCCTGTATATCATCAGCAAACTGTGGTTGGTGCTGGCAGATAGGGACCCAGAGGCGAAATGATGGAAATTTTGTTGATTCCACCACTCAATGTTCGCAATCACAGATTCCTAGAGCCCCTCCCCCCCACCCCCCACCCCAGGGCAGTGCTACTGACTGAAGTGTCTATAGGCCATTCCCAAAGGGGGGATATTAACATGTTCTTATGAACAGTAGAATTGAAAATGGGCTGATTTATCAAAGTCATGCTCATACTGTGCCGGAACAACATAGGGGGAACTGCTACTTTTTCGTTCCTCATCCATACTGTCGTCATTTTCCCTCTACTTCTTTTGTATGTTTGTCACTCTCTTGTGAACTGCTATTTCCGGGGTGCCTTGGTAGTTGAAGCAGAATTTTTACTGTTGAGGCTAGAGAGGTGAGCAGAGTAAGCCTGATTCCCCTTTTGAACTTCGCTGTTGACACCCACCCCTTGGCGCTCATATGACCTAATGTAGTTGCGAGCGCCGTAAAACCTTACTAAAACTAAACAAAGCTAACTAAGATTTCTAGAAACATAACTGCATGTACCCACCAACCCCTTGCGTTGGAAGGTTTTGTAGACAGTAATTAGACGGCAATATTTCCATTTCTTATAGTCCATCTTAACCACGGAAATTCCAGTAATTTCACATTCATCAACGGTAAAAATAAATAGAATGCAATCAGAGACAGAGAGAGAGAGAAGAGGGAACAAACAAGAAATCTGAGTTGACGGCGATAAAAATGAGGCTAATCCGCGCTACAAGCCTCTCATTTGCTGCATAATGGCATTCATTTCCGTTTTGCCCTGGCGTTATTAAGAAAGTATAAAATTGCCATTAGCGTATTATCAGTGTGGTATTAGTGTATACAAAAGTCTGTTTATGAACTGCGCTAACGGCTCTGACCAGAAATACCATGATGAAACTGTAGATGATTCATGCCCCGAACTGTACTTGTAGGTCATTTAAGAAGCGGACGGCTTCAACCCTGCCTGTCTCTCTCCATTTCCTTCGCATCTCTCTCCCTCCTTCGTTCTCTCTGTCCTTGCCTGTTTTTTACGTCTGTCTCTGTCTCTCTGTTTCCCTTTCTCTTTCCCACCATTCCCCCCC